CAGAGATCTTCAGGACATCTTTTCGACTACTGTGGATCATTTACGCATGGTTTTAGGACTTATTTTAAAAAATGTTAAATTTTGGAATAACCTAAATGTCAGCAGTATGCCATCTAATGAAATATTATTCGATTATTTTAAAAAAGTGTTTTTTTGGTGATATATCGAGACACGGAGAAAAATACAATTTAATTTTAAGGGAAAGTAGGATAAAAGTTAGATGTTCAATCTAAGCCCAATTTTTAAAAAATACACCCCTCTAAGAAAATAATGTGAAATATATGAAAATATCAATCATGATTTTTGGTGGACTGTGGTAATTTTAAGGTAATTTTTATATTCCTTTATGAAATGTTTATTTTCCAAATTCTTTGAGTCTGAGTTATTCTTATAAGCAGAAGTAAACAAATATTTATTATAAACAAACCCTTCAAGAAGAGCTTGCTCTCTGAGTCCCTCTCTTCATCTTGGGGACCAGTGCTCCCTTCTGGAACTTGGAGGTTCTTGGACATGGTTTCAGCACTGGGCCACTGTGTTCTTCCTTGTCCATGATAAATCACAAAGAGAAATTGCTCTTATCATGCTGAGTAATTTGACAGATCTAAGACTCAGTTTCTTAGTTGTACAATGGGAGAATGGCTACTGTCCTTTCTTATACCACAAAGAGATTATAGAGACTGAAGGGAGTAAGGAAGGAGAGAATACTTAAACCATTTAGAACAGAACATGATGGTAATGGATGGATTGGTATGTTACCAATGGTAGTTACAGCTTAGAAGATCTGACATTAAAGCATGGTAACAATATCAACCCTGTTAGCCGTCTGCATCACAATGCTTCATATGATGGTAGGACTGAAAACTGGGTAATTAATATTATTGTGGTTGCAGGATCTTTGGAATTTCCCCACCGAATTTCTGAATGTTTTAATAGGCCCCCTTTTCAAACATTCACCAAATAATGTCAAGTTCCAGAAAGGGTCACCAGAGGGCGCTAGATCACTTACGTTGTCCCACTGGCTTCCACAGCCAAACCACCATGATTTGTTATGTCAAGAGTATTGGAACTGGGTCCAGGCCCGAAAAAAAATGAAATCCAGTGTACATTAGTTATGATGTTGGGCCAACATTTAAGTAAATAGGGTTCTTTTTTTCTCCTTGGCTATTACTTTAGTCGCTCTGCTTTTTCGGTTTGTATGCTAATGTACTTTTATTTATTTCTTCTCCGTCAGTTGAGACTGTTCAGATGAGAATACTTTAGAAACCTGAGACCCTGGTTGGCTTTGAAAGCTGCCATAGGCATGTGTTCACGTGATAAAGAGGCTGCCCTCCCCTCTGAGAAGTTTATAAATGTATTTAGAAATAAATACATGACCTATATTGTTGTCAGAACGGAGGAGGCTGAAGTTGGTCTTTTTTTTTTTTTAAGATTTTCTTTATTCATTTATTTGAGAGAGCGAGAGAGAGATAGCGAGAGAGCGCACAAGCAGGGAGGAGAGGGAGAAGCAGGGTCCCCGCTCAGCGGGGAGCCCCATGCGGGGCTCAATCCCAGGACCCCGAGATCACGACCCGAGCTGAAGGCAGACGCTTAATGACTGAGCCACCCAGGTGCGTTGGTCTTTGTGGTTAGGCTGTTGGTGCTTGTGTGATGGGCCATGGTTCTCAGCCTGCAGACACACCTACGGAAGGGGGAATGCCCTGGGGCTATCCGTAGGTGCCTCTCTATCCTCTGCCCTGGAGTCTGCCCACGGACTGCCGGTGGGGCCCTCCAGGCCACAGCGTCATGGCTGCAACAGAGGGCAGGGACACGTTGCCTCAGTCCTTAATCCAGGTGAGGGGCCTTGCTGGGGGCAGAACAGCAAAGTCGGGGCAAGGAGCAATAGTCCTGCCTGGACTCATCTGCCCCACGGTCTGATGCCTGCCCCCCCCCCCCCCCACACACACGAGTACTGGTTTGGGGTCAGAAGATGCGGTTGGTGTTTGGCTGTGTTTTGGGTCACAGTAGTTATAACCCAGACCTGTATCATGTTTTCTTTTTCATCCTTACAAATACCCCTTTGTTATTTGTAGGTAGGTAGGCAGAGCAGTTCCTGTTTTTATTCCAATTTTACAAGTAAGGAAATACGATAAACGCAAGGTACTGAAGGTCCCTTTTGAGTTTGAGGTTGGTTCTGTTCTGCGTAGAACTTTTTCCTCACTTGGGCCAGGTCAGGTGTGGGTCTTCCGAACCTGGTGCTAAAGTTGGCGGATGCTAGGGTGGTACCAGAAGAGGCCGGCAAAGGCCCGTTGAGGGCTCTCTCTGGTGGACGGTGGCTCTCTCATTCACTGCTTACCAGTCGAGCTGTCCCGGGAAGTAGTGTGGGACTGGGGTTGTACGAAAAGTAGGCTATTGACTTTGATGGTGAGGGACTCTGATGAATCCCGACTCATGATGGGATGATGGAGGAGACAGCGGAGGAGAAACAGGTGGGGATTCTGCAGTTGGGGTGAAGAAGTCACAGCAACCTGTGACTTCTTGCTAGTAGTCCCAGACTGGTACTTTAGGGGAACTCAGGTTGTGGGGGCTGTCCAGGAAGGCCTGGAGAGGATTCATGGTGTGTGGAAGCTCAGTTTTAAGGGGAAGGGAATCCATTCTGGGGGTTTCGTATCCCTGTGGGCAGACAATCCTATCTTTCCCTGCTCTTTTCTTGCTATGGGCATTTTATTTTTAAATTTCAAATCTTGTACTTGATTTAAGGAAAGTCCTTAATTTTCCCGGCATATGCTGAGGCCCAAAGGGAGTAAAGTACAGCCATTCAGAAGGCTAATAAATCAAAGGCGTCTCAAGGTCACAGTTACCTTCTTGCAACATCACAGCACTTCTGAGGCCGACCGGCGCCGACCCAGTGCTGGGAAGAACCCAGGGTCTTTGCAGGGACTAATGCAGCATGGATGTGTTGAGAGAGGTTGCTGAACACGAAGGATGAGGCTACAGGTACTATCTGGGTGACAATTTCACTTTCTGGAAAATACCGTCTGTAGCTCCCTTTTATGCATTGCTTTATTTTTCCCTTTTTTTTTTTTGAATAGTAAGATTATATTTATTTATTTTTTATTATGTTCTGTTAGCCAACATATAGTAGTACATCATTAGTAGTGTTTGATGTAGTGTTCAAGGACTCATTAGTTGTGTACAACACCCAGTGCTGCTCTCTTTTACGCATTGCTTTTTGAGTACCAAACACTCAAGAACACTTACCTCGTTCTATTTCCCCCTTTGACCTTGACCCTGACTCTTTTCTAATGGGTATGTGTCCTGAGCACAATGAACACATTCTGGATGAGGCTTGGAGAAGCTGCAAATATTCCCTTCAGCCTCTCTGCCCAGCTAAGCCTCCCTTCTCGGGTCCTCCCCAGTATCCGAGGGCCTCCAGAGGCGAGGGGCCAGGCCGAGGTCTCACTCAGGCAGAAGCAGCCCTGGCCCTACAGTAAAGGATGCTAACTTGGCCTCACCACAGGAAGGGCTGAAAGGAACTTGAGAATTCCAATTAGGCTTAAACTAATGAGCTGGAAACTTTGGGGAAACCACTGTGGGCAATGAGGGGAGAGTGTGACCATCTTCCTTCTAATTAGCACTGGAAAAACTTGTGGCCCAGCTGGTAGCCAAGAGGAAGGGCAGTGTACAGAGGGAGCAAAATTTCTGGGAGCATTACAAGAGGTGTGGTGTGGGAATAGAGGCTGCTGAACAAAACCAGGCTCCTCCTCCTCTTGAAGGGTAGGGGTAGGAGGGAAGACCCTATATGGGGAAAGGCAGGCTTGAGTGGCGCCTAGAGAACCCCTTCTCCCAGCTGGCCTCCTCACACGATGGGGCCTGGGGCTAGATAAAAGGGGAGCGACTTTGGGGAACTCAATTGTCTATTGTAGCCTGCATCATCCCTGAGGCCAGGTCCCCCTTGCTCATCTCTCCCTACTCTCTCAGGTAGCCTCTGTCCCTTAATAAGGAAAACGCAGGAAAACCACCTGCTGCTGTCAAGAGCCACAGACCACCCGCTAGCCTCCGGCCATGCGTGGGGCACTGGGGCACCAAGGAAGGGGGTAGGGAAGAGCAAACTAGGGACCGGAGGGGGTCGAACTAGGGTGTGTATCCTGGAGAAGGGTCCTCCTCACTCCCGAAGCCCGAGGATTTGGGGGTGTCCGGCCCGTGGTGTCGATAGCTGGTCACCCCTTCCCTCCCCACCGGGGGGTCCTTTGGTAAAAAAAATGGTCTGCCATGGGTGTCCCGCCATCCTCCTCGGGCCCCCGGGTCGCTCGGCTGGGGGCGCAGCACCTTGGAGAGAGGCGCCCCATCTCGAGCCTTGTTTTGGGGCGCTCTACCTTGCGCTCGGGGGGTCAGGGGTGCGTGCCAGGGGGCCTCCGAGGGGTCAGCCTGCCCCCTGTCCAGCCCCGAGCAGAGGCGAGCGGGCGCTGCGGGCCTCCTCCCCTCCCGCCTCGGGCGGCCTGAGCCCGCGCCCGCTCCAGTTGCTGCAGCTGCTGCTGCTGGCGGCTGCGGGGAGCGCGGGGAGCGCGCCGAAGAGGCTCGGGCGGCGAGGACGGGGACGAGGAGGAGCCGGAGGAGGCGAGGAGGAAGAACGAGCGGAGGCCGAGGAGGCTCGGCGGCGTGGTGACGCGGCTCAGGGACCCCGGGGGGCATGGGCTAGCGGCCGGGGCGGCCCGGCAGCCGGACGCGGTGGACCTTCCGTGGCCCCGCACGTGCAGGGGCGGCGAGCCGGAGCCGAGCGCAGCCGGGGACTGGAGGCTGGCGCGGGGGCGTCCCGGAGGAGGGGGCTGATTACCCGTTATTAACTAGTTGCCGCCTAATAAGCCAGGAGCGGCGGGTGAGCGGCGCGGGCTGAGCGCGGGGAGGGTCCCGGGCCGGAGCGCAGCGCACTCGCGTGGCGCACGGCGGGCCGGCGCGCAGAGCCGGGGCGGGCCCGGGGGCGGCGCAGACCCCGGGCGCGGGCGGCCCGCGGCGCCCCCTCGCTCTCGGCGCTGGGGGCCGGCGCAGCCCCGGGCGAGCGGGGCGCAGGCCGGGGCGGGGAGCAGCCCGCGCGCTCCATCCCCTCCCCCCCCTCCCCGGGCGGGCGGCCGGGGGGAGGGCGGGCGGCGGCGGCCCGCCGTATATATCTCGGCGCACCCCGCCAGGTCGCGCACAGCGCCCCGAGCCCAGGCGCCTCCCCGCCCCCTCCCCGCGCTCCGCGGCGGCGGCGGCGGCAGCAGTAGCAGCAATATGGCTGTTGATGGGTGTTCGGGGTGGCGCTGGCGGCGGGAGGAGCTCCCCCGAGCCCCTGCGCCGGCTGCCCGTTGCTAGCTATGGCAAATGGTGGCGGCGGCGGCGGCGGCAGCAGCGGCGGCGGCGGCGGCGGCGGCGGAGGCAGCAGTCTTAGAATGAGTAGCAATATCCACGCGAACCATCTCAGCCTAGACGCGTCCTCCTCCTCCTCCTCTTCCTCCTCCTCTTCTTCCTCCTCCTCCTCTTCCTCCTCGTCCTCGGTCCACGAGCCCAAGATGGATGCGCTCATCATCCCGATGACCATGGAGGTGCCGTGCGACAGCCGGGGCCAGCGCATGTGGTGGGCTTTCCTGGCCTCCTCCATGGTGACTTTCTTCGGGGGCCTCTTCATCATCTTGCTCTGGCGGACGCTCAAGTACCTGTGGACCGTTTGCTGCCACTGCGGGGGCAAGACGAAGGTAACGCGCGCCCCGGGCGCCCGCCCCCTGCGCCAGCCCACCTCCTCGCTCCTCGCCGCGCCGGGCCGCCCTCCATCCCTGCCTGCCTTCCCCGCGCCGCCTGCCCTTCCCTCCGCTCTCCCCGCGCCCCGCTTGGCGCGGCGGGCGGCGCGCCGGGGCTGAGGAGTTGCCCCCGACCGGTGCGCTCCGGGACGCGGACGCCCAGTCCCGTCCCCTTGTTTATGGTGGGGTCGCCGGCGGCTGCGGTTGGGGCCGGGCAGGGGGACGCGCGCCGCTCGGGGCCCGGGGTGCGGGGTAGGGAGAGCGGAGCACGCGGGGCCCGAGGCCGCGGGGGGCCTCCGGGTGCGTGTGCCGCCCGCCTCGCCCGCCGCGGCCGGGCTCCTGGTGGTGGGAGACCGGGAGCACGTCGGCCCGCACTCCAGAAACCTGTTGGGGAGCCGAGTTCGCGGAGTCGGACGGCAGGGGAAACCCTTTGGGCAGGGAAGAAAATCTTTTGCGCTGGGGAATCCCGGGGGAGGAACCTGGCCAGAGGACGTGGGGGGGGGGGGACCTCGGGTACAGCGAGGGAAAGTTGGGGAGATGCATCCCAGTTTTGGAGGCAACCCACGGAGGCTGCCACTTTAGGAATGTGGCGAGGTCGCACATTTGATGTCACCTTCCTCCCCATCCCTTAGATATTCTCGTGGAACATACCCCCACCCCAGGTTCTTCAGCCTCTGTATTCTCGCCCCCACGCCACCCTCCTTAGGTCCCCGGAAATGCCGCCAGCAGCGGGGAGCTGGAGCAAGGAGGTCCGCGCGAGAGCCTCCGAGGCCGCGGTTTCGCGCGGAGCCTCCTCCCCGGCGCTTTTGAGGTGGCTGGATGTCGGCTTAAGCTATTCCTGGCGCAGAGACGCCCACCAGCACCGAGGCTCACTACACCTTAAGTATGGTTGCTAGGCTGACTGCCTGGTCTGTCGCCGTGTCCCTAGAGATGTCCTCTTCCCCCTCCTCCCCCCACTGGCTGAAGGTGAAGGGCTGGGGCAGTTTTTCACAGAAAACTGCAAGATAAAAAAGAACTGGAAAAAAGGGACGGAGCTGCATTGTGTTTGAGTAATTCCCATCCTAGGGGACTTCACAGCGCCAACATTTTCGGAGGGAGGGGAGATCAAAGGGAATAGGGGAACGGCCCAGGGTAGAGGCAGATCTTGGGATGTTCACACCTTTTTCTAGTAAAGTTAATCCCAGGACCCCTCAAACTTCCACAGGGCTCCACAACTTGTAGCAGCCTCCTTAGTTGCTGTGGGAAGTAGGGAAGCCAGGGGCTGTTGGTGAAGCACGAGGGTGAACCCAGGCTCTCTCTCCTGATCATTAATTATACACCGCGCTGGGTGCTGGAGCTCAGCTGTGTTTTGTGGCAGCACATTTGTGTTTTGGAAAATACTGGTGTGTTGGAAATAAGGGAGAAAAATAAAAGCCATCTCTCTGTCCTCCTCCTCCCATTTCTCCTGAGGCTTCCAGATGTTGACCAGCCAGCTTTGGCATTACCTCCTCCGCCATAGAGGTTTCGCCTTACTTGTCCAGGTGGGAAACCTCCCACCTTCCAGAGAAGCAAACAGGTTAAGCAAAGTCAGAACCATGAGACCCCGAGACCATGCTTCTTGCCTTAGCCTTCCTCTTAACCGCTTGTTCATAGAGCCTTATTGATCACACGTTCACTTCTCTCCTTCTCCTCCCAGTCTTGAGTCCTGGCATTTTGTTTGTGTTTTTCCTTTACTGAGAGTCTGTGTCTGCCCTTAGGGGAGGGATAGCTCCTGGTCGTGGGCATCTAAAATGTTCAAAACCACTCAGTGGTTTGGGTGCAGTTTTTAACAGCCTCCTCATCCTTAAGGCATTGGGCATTCTTGATCATAACGAAAACTTTTCAATGAGTCAAAATAAGTTGTGGTGTTTTTGTGATCGTAGGGTTTTAAACACAGCTTCCACGTCCCTTTTACCCTAGGGGTCCACAGATGTCACTGCAGTCCCTGTGATGAAATGCTAATTGGATTGTTCACATAATCTCTTTCATAAAATGATGACCAAGCATAACTTCTGTCAGTCTTCTCAAGAAAAGAGGTTTTTGGCAATGATCATTAGAAAAAATGATCCCTGTCTATTAGGCTGTATTTTGTAGCTATGAGACCAACTGAGCTGACCTTACTGGAAATTTCTACAAAAAATCAACCTGGGACGAGAGATGCTTGCAGTTGATTGGGAGCTTATGAGGCCAATGGAGGACGAGGTCAGGTCACTTTTGATACCATTAGAGTAGACTTAAAACATGCCCAGAATCTCTTAATAACTACCCCTTGATTTGCTCACTTGAACCATGTGTAGCCAGCTCATTAATAGTAACTTAGACCTTTTCTGAGCTTTTCTTTCTACCCCCGAGGTCTGTATTTTTACTGCCATCATGGTTTTTTGTCCTTCATTCTTTTTACTTTCCAAGTATTTGGTAGTTGTCGAGGTGCCGTATGGCAGAATGCATTTGTCCTAAGTTTGGAATAATGATTTTAGTGCTAGGCTTCCCAAGCCAACTGAGACTGCTTTTGCACAGAATTCTGTTGGCCTTCAGATGTCCTCACCCTCACCCTCATTCAGTCCCAAGATGGTTTGAACAGGAGCTGGGGTCTCGTGGAGGGCTGGTTTCTAGCTTCTGAAATTCCATGGGAGGTAAGTTTCCGCAGGGTGTCCCGACATCACAAGTGGGACGGCACCATCTTTTTTGATCAAAGGAAGCTGGGACTATGGGTGTTCCTCATGGGGCCTCGCATCATTAGCACCTTTGGCCTCTGAATCTCAAGTGGTGAGTGACTTTACTGTTTTGAAAAGAATGGAATGTGGACTTTTTTTGGGAAATGAGAGAACTAATCACATTTCCCCTGGTTGGGAACTTGGGCACAATCATCCAGTACTGTGTTCTTTGCTGTACTTTATCACATTATTGTTTTTCTCTGCTGGGTTTCATCAGAGCTCTGTGTTCACGAGGCTGTGACGTTTTGAGGTCCAATCCAGTTGTAGACTGTAGTGAACAGTGAGCAGCTCAGGCAGCCTGGATCAGGCCATGACCTTGAAGAAGTCATTTAACATCTCTGGGCTCTTTTTCCTTGTGTTTACAATGTGGAGATTGAATTCTGTGACTTCTGATGCCCCTTCCTGCTCTGTGATTCAGTGTCAGTGGTTGGAAGGAGTTGAGAAACTATGGGGAAAGTTTCTAGCTCAGAATGTGTTTTGCAGTTTTCTGGCAAATTCTTTAGGAATTCAGCCTTGGAGTGCTTCTGTGTCTTTATTCCTGCCTTCTCCTCTTCCAGCACACAGTCTCCTTCTCTTCAGATTAGTCTGGGGAAACTGAGGCCAGCTTTCTGAGGGAGCTGTGGCTTGCTGGGGGACCTGAATGTGGCCAGGCATAGGCTCAAGCCTGCTCTCAGGTTGAGCTATCCACCCTGTAGAAGCTTGGGCTTGATCAAGCCCGGTCTGCATGTAATGAATTATTGTCTCCATGGCTGTGTCTGAGAAAACAACACGTTTTCTCTGTCAGGTTTGTGACTAATATAAATATCAGATCCCGTTATGGCTTGGTAATTACCCAGGGTCTGGCCTGACGCATCCAATCAGGGCTGGAGCTCCAGTGCCTCAGAATTTTTGATTCCAGATTGGCCCTGCTGTCTCATCTCATCTTGGGGATTGCCTGCACTGGATGACCTTCAGCTAATTCTCTCTGATCAGATCACTTAGGGTGGCCTTGGAGAAGCTCTCAGGTCCCAGCCACAGGGGAGTTCCAACAGACCTTCCCTCGAGCAGAGGGCGCTTCCCATTACCTGGCTCTCTTCATGGAAATGCACACTTTATAGTAGAGACTCGTCAGTCAGACCCGAGTGCAAATCCTTGATCACATACTTAGCAGGGCATCTTTGGCTGGCAGCCATGTCAAGCCTTGATTTCTTCATCTGTAAAAGGAGCAAAATGAGGCTTACTTTGTAGGATGCTTATGAGGAGTAGCAATAATGGGTATATAGTACCCAGCAAATGCCTGGCACTAAGCAGGCTTCCTGTAAATAGCTCCACAAAGTGGTGAGTTTGTTTTCTCCTCGATTCCTTGAACGTTTTTGGCCCCAGAGGGGCACAGACTACAACAAGTAGAACTTTTTTGAGCCAAAAGGAACCTCTAGACTCTGAAGTCTCCTGTCCTTGGGTCCAACAACCACTTAGGGTCAGACTGAGATTTGGGTTCATGGCTCTTGGCTGTTGCAGGGCTGGAGGATTGGGGTGGGGGCAGCCAGGGAAGGCTCTGTGTTTTGATGGTTGCTCTTTGGATGGTGGGGACGTTGGTGGACTAGTGTTGACTAGTGTTGACACCGTCTGGCTCCAGGAGCGGTAGACCGAGAGGATGTGAACAGTTTGGTAGGAGGGCAGGGTCCGGCCAGCGTCATACCTTTGAGTAGGGACCACGTCCATCCCTATTACCCCAGTCCAGAGCTCACAGACCTGTTCCCCTGATGATGTCACAGTTTCCTGGCCAGGGTTCTCTGTACCAGCACCAGCTCTCCTCAGAGCGGTGTTTCCCCAAGTATGTTCTGTGGAGCACTTGCCCTTACCTTGTGAAAAGCGTTGTGAATAAATGGCACACCTGAGCGCCCCCTTGGAGAGTCACATCCCAGGCTTGGGGACGTCCTGTAGTAGAGAAATTGGTGAAACTGCGCTTACCTGAGCTCCCGTTGAGCGGACTTGCTTAGCTGTCAAGCCTGCTGTGCCATACCCAAGAGTCAGCCTGTGACCTTGGGCAAGGACTTTGCTGCTTCGTGCCTCAGTTTCCTCATCTGCAAATTGGGGGTTGTCATAGAGCACAGCCCTGTGGGGTAGCTACTCTCTCTAGCCCTATTTACAGACTTTCCTAAGAGGACACTGGTGCCCTAAAGCCTTGGGCTGACTCTATCCAGGTGTGCTGGGGACTTACCCAAACATATATCATTAGGATGGGAA